CCCCCCCCCCTCTCTCTTTTTCTCTCTCTCTCTCTCTCTCTCTCTCTCTCTCTCTCTCTCTCGTTGACCGGCGAGTTGATGCAGCTCTTTTTATGCATCCACGCGGCCTTTTTACATCGATCGTGAAACATTTATCTTTATCGATTGCATCTCGAGCGAGCGAACTTTCGACGCGGACATATTTACGCGCCCGACAACGCTGCCAGCGTCGCAGCTGGTTCAGCTCGAGCAGCTTGGACCGCTCGAAAAGTAATATTGTACAAAGTTCTCGGTGAATGTTTATTATGTTACAGGGTTCCTTTTCGGCGATCGAGACGGCTTCAGAAAATTACTTCAAACTCTCGGCACGGTGGTCGGTGGTACCGTACTTGTCCGTTCGATCGATCGTTAACATCGTCGCGCTCTTTCTCCTCGGATCGACAACTAAAAAATTTGGAGCACCACTCGAACTCTCGTTACACAACGTTCTCGCTATGTTATTCTCTACGTAATAAATATATCGTTCAAACTATAACAGAACAACATCTCTAACGGACTCGCACGCGCAATTATCCACTAGTTCTCGAGCAACTTATTCGCTGAAGCGACCGTCTTCAAATCGAATGCTCGAAACTTTCGGGTACACGCGCGGATATCTCCGGATCGGAGTCCGGCTAATTACGCGTCTTTGCTCGGCTTACGACACCCCTCATCGTTAATTCGAACGTATCAAAACCTCGAACGTCGTTGAATCCTCCTGCGTTCCCCGTAACGGCTGTTCGCAGCCGTTCGTTCGTTCGGTCGGCGATCCGTTCGTTCGTCATTTCTCTTCTTTCTTTTTTTTTGTCTTTTTCGTTTAGTTCGTCACACGAGTATCTATTATTCTTTTTGTTTGTTCTCCCGCATAATCAGACTTGTATACGTTTTTCTAATGAACTAAGAAGGAATGGAAACATCACAGTCGTATAGAGGATGTAATAATAAATGGGTCCGTGTCGGATCTCGTGTACTCAGGAAGGCAAATTTTCGTGTCACGTTAAGATCGTTCATTGTACGCCTGACTTTCCAGTGATTCGTCGAACGGACAGAGTTTTTTCATTGCGATTTAATAAATTCGTTTCCGTACAAGGAGAGAAACACGTCCGTGATCCATCGGCTTCGGAACGCTTCGCGTTACAACAAATGCTTACAACACACAGCACGCGTAACATCCTTTTTCACTCTCTCTCTTTCTCTCTTTCTTTCTCTCGTCTCGCACGTGTTCGTTAGATTAATTAAGTACACTAGTAGGGTGATCCTCGACTCGAAAACGAAACAGTTCTGCGGATGCTTCTCAGTGAAACGTGTACGGTACACTTTGGTCGGTAGTAAGCAAGTTCCTCCGGTCGTAAAAACGCGCAGGAAGGAAACGAACGTTTGGAAAATAGATGTCTATCGGTGAGACGGGCAATCGAAAGTATACGTTCCCGGCGAAACCAAGAGCGAATCCGGGAAATTGCCTACGCGAAAGGAAGTAACGTTAGTCCTAAAAAGAACGCGAGATTCCATTACGCTACCTAATTGAACGCCGTTAATTAATCGTAAGACGCGAAGGAATGTCTACGTGGTGATCGATCTACGAATGAGCGTTTCCCTTGAACCGCGTGTCTCCGTCGAACAATCGTTGCCGAGAATGAACGACAACGTTCCCAGAGTCAACGTTCCCGACGACGGCGCGCGTCGTTATATTGTTCGCGTCTTCGACCGAACGTCCGCGAGTGATCGACGCCGTCGTCTTTGAATCGGGCTCGAACGGATAAAAGAAAACTCGATATTCCTCGGTGTAAGGTACTTCAATGAAACGCAGTCCGGATGCTCGATCGTCTTTTAGATTTTCTCCACGGGAATTGTCCCGTTCGGGGCGAGTTCGCGTACATTATTGCCAATATTTTTCTCCGCGGGGTGGTCGCTCGACGACGGAGAGATCGGATCGGCCTCGTGTCTGTCGGCGCGTCGATGAACCTAATAAACGAATTATGGTGTCCCGTGTCGTCGGAGGATCGGCTCCGCTGTCGGCCATCTTGCGCTGCGCAAACAATGTGGCCACTTTCCCCGGCATGCCGGATGATGATGGGAGATTTCGGATGGTTCCGGCTCCTCGGAGTTACAGTTCGTTGTAAATTGAGCCAAGACCCCTCCAACTAGTTACCGATCGTAATTAAAGCGAAACTCGACCGAGCAGCAGACTCGTGAACAGCGACACCAGCAGCGATACGCCTGGAACAGAAATCGGCCGTGAGGACTCGGTGATTAGGCCGATCGGATCGAGGCGACAATATCAAAACCCTTCTCCCAAAACTCGACGCTCGTATGTTATGCAATAATGCAAAATTCGAAATATATCATAAAGACATAAGCGTCGTTTCTCATCTATTTCTTGCGAATTTCTATGATTTTCAAATATTTGGTTATAATTGTATAAATAGGATATCAAATTTGTTCTTTTTTTTTACAAGATTATCAGGAGATCTTTTTTTTTAATCTCTGCTGTCATGCGAAACGCGTATGTCACACTGGATCACTCAGGTCCAGTTCAGTTTTTAAACAATTGTCACTCAAAAACTAACAATGCTATTCACACCAAAAAATTTGAGAATATAATTTGAACAATTCTAGAACATCGTTTCCTTCATTAGAACTTGATATTTCATTTCCAAGTGTATTGAATTAATTCTTAATTTCTCTTTTTTCGTGACAGTATCACATTTGTTAGATTAATTATTAGATTAATAATCTTGTAACACGATGAACTTTGTCACGATGCAAAATATTCAATGCAACGAGACGCTGGTATACTTTAAAAACTGTATTTCGGCCAACTTTTTGGGAGAAGGTACCGCTATGTGACGTATTAAACATATTTTTCTGATCCGCGAAGGTTCGATGTTATGCGATAATGGGCATTCGACATAAAAAAAGATGACTTTCGGTATATAGGGATTTTTTTATGGCGTTCTTCAAATATAGTACTCATTTAGGAGGATGACACGATGAAGCGAAGATGATATCGTTACCGATGAAACGCCTTTATGAAGTCTTATTTTTATCTGGATGTCAGTTAGGGTGGTAATCGTAACATCGGGACGAGGTGGGCGTGGCATAACCGAATAACTGTAGGGGCGTAATTCTTTCATTAGATTTAATGGCTTTCTACGGTTTATAGTTTATTTTGCGAGATAATTTCTTATCGCTGGATTCGATGCATTTGTGAGAAAAATTAATGCGTAAAATATGAAATAGTAAAAGCTTCAGAAGAACGCTTCTCAAGTTATTAAAATTAGCGGAGAAAGAGTGAATTTTAGAATCATAGCATAAATCCGGTATGGGATGTTTTACGACTTCGAAAAATTAAGAGAACAGGATTCACGCAATTTCTATATGTGATTCATAAAATGCCTCGATTACATTTTCTTTCACATTAATTAAACCGCCTTTAATATTCATAGTATGAATCCGTACATTAATATTCATAAGATCATTAACAGGAGGCTTCACATTTTCCCCGTGTATTGTAGATGAAGTAGAAGTGGCCAACCATGAACAGACACGTCAGTCATCGTATATCCAATAACACCTTTGCCTTACAAAGTATCCGTTTCATCGTAACAATGGAGCCTCGTACAAAAAAGTTCTTGTATGCAGAATAATTAAAGGAAAAATATTGTACGTATTTTTGATTAAACAAGATAGAGAATTCAATTACGTTTTAAATTATTCGCAGTTGTTTATTACATTGATTCTATTTTAAGTGAAACGAAATCTCAATAAAGATAAAGATAAACAAAATCTCAAACAAGATAAAAAGAATTTGATTACGTTTTAAATTACTGATAGTTGTTTATCACATTGATTCTATTTTAAGCAAAACAATATTCTTAAATATTTTCCGGATTATTATATGGTTTGTCCACTTTCGTTTTTGTTTATTTGCAATACAAATATGTGCGTGTTTTTAAGTACCTATTTTTTTTTATCTAATATTTGATTATCTGTATTTA